GAAGGAAGGAGCTAGGTAAACTTCCTTGCCCAGGGAGGCACTGCAAGTCACAGGCAATTGGCTGGGGATTTATGATTCATAATTGAGATTCATGAGACAATGATGCAATCTACGCCTTATCTTTAGATTACCTTGGGCAAGTCTCATGTGATGTCGTAGCTCCCTGGTCTATGTTAGTGGAGAGCAGAGATTAATGAATTCAATGCAGAACTCTGAGTTTTAACACAGCCCTTATAATTAATTGTTATGGGTTTGGGTTTTTTTTGGTTGTTTTGTTTTGTTTTTGGTATGTTTCTTGATAACCTCCATTGCTCAATTACAGAAACATGACTGGGTTTTTCCCGTTACGGAATGCTTAAGAATGTTCATGTCCAATGGAGATGGGAAAGTAATTTTTTTAAATGATTGAAACTACCAAGATATAATTACATACCATAAAATGCACCCGTTATAAGTACAAAGTTGAATGAGTTTTTGTACATTTATATAGTTGTGTGGCCCTCAGTACAGTCCTGTTTTTAGAACAGCTCTATCATCCCCCAAAGTTTGTTTTCCACATTCACAGTCAGTGTCTCTGTCATCCCTAGCACCAGGCAGCTGTTATACTTTCTGAATCTGTGGATTTACATCTTCTGATAATTTCATGTACACAGAACCTTATAATATGTACTCTTTTGTGTATGGCTTCTTTCACTTAGATGATGTTTTTGAGGTTCATCTTTATTTGCTGATTCTATCAGTGATTAGTTTTTACTAATGAAGACTTCTGTTGTAAGGGATTTATCACATTTTGTCCCTGTACCAGTTGATGGACATTTGAGTGATTTCTAGTATTTGGCTATTATGAATAATGCTGCTATGAATATTTGCTTGCAAGTCTTTTTAAAAATTTTCTTTTGAGTAGGTAGATATCTAGCAGTTGAATTGTTGGGACATATGGTAAGATTATGTGGAAACATCTTTGTTTTACATCTTCAGCACTTTCTCCACATCGTCACCAACACTTGGTATAGTCGGTCTTTTTTATTATAGCCAGGAAATCATTTGTTGGCAGTGGAACCCCTGTGAACCTCGCTTTTGAATAAAGGATGGTATTTCTTTCCTCCCTATATCTTACAGGATTGCTCTGAAGATCAAAGGAGATGGAAATTTATGTGCAAGGGTTTTATAGTATAAAACTGTTAGTGGTGAGTATGTGCAGAAAAGTTTTTAGCTGTTAAATTTAACACAGAGATTAAGATGAAAACTTGCCCAAGTTTTAATAAAATGTGTATGTTACGGTTGAACTTGTTCTACCTTCTTATAAAGGCATATTTTACTCAAATTGTGAGCTTCCTCCGTATGCCTGCATTCTACATTAAATTATCAGCCTTATTTCACAATGACAGAATATAATGGTTTGCATATGCTGGGCAAATTTTTCTTTCCCACTCAAACTTGGATGGTCTGGTAAATGTCTGCTTGTGACTTCATTTTCCAATACCTGTGGGTGGCCTCTTTTCTGGACCTGGGCGTATGTGTTCTATTCTAATAGAATGGAAGTAGAAGAGTTTGGGAGCTCAGAGAAACGACCAGGAAACAGTCTATAAAAATAGTCATTGCAGCGGTTTTACTTTGCAATTCTGATTCTATGAAAATGGCCAGTTTAAACTTTTTCAAAGAACAAAGGGAGTTTTGAATGCATTTCCCTTCCTGCCTGTGGGAGCCAGCTGCCGTAGGTCTAGGGGAACTGGCCCAGGGGCTCTAGATTTGCTCTTTGGGGCTTGATTTTGTAAACCTTGCTTATCAGCAGCTCTTCACACCTGTTGAGGAAGACCTTTGGACTAAGGAAGTTGAACTGTGTGTTTGATCATGTACGACTATGTCAACAAAGGGCTTTATAGCACTTTCAAATGAAAAGGTAAAAAGAAACAGCAAAACTCAAGTCAAAGGAACTGCGTGCCTTATAGGAATCTAGAGATTTATACTAATCCTGGTGACAGTTTATATTCAGTAATGTTTCCTAATAAAATCTTAATACATCCTTACTAAGTGGACAATTTTAATAATTGGGAAATGTGTACATGAAATCCTTTTTGATAAAGATGTAGATGGTGATCATAGCAAAACAGTGCTTTGGACTCAGGATCCTGGGATGTGCAGAATTCTTTCATGATGTTACTCACTGAGTAAAAGTTCTCACCTTACATGACTTTGAAAATTTCTGTTTGAATATGGGTGTGCGTATGTGTGTGTACATGCATGTGTGTGCATGGATGTATGTAGGTATTTTCAAAGCTTTCAAATGCTGCAGTCTCTGATATGTGAATTAAAAAGCAGATGAAAAAAGTAGTTGAGGCCCTTGGAAATCTTTTTCTCGAGCATTACTAATAATGTGGTGTGGTATGGAATGATATTTGAGAGAGCAGTTCTAGAGGAGGCCCAGAGTAAATGCTCTTTTTGGAAGCAGCTGTTGGCTAATAAAGAATCAGAACTGACAGGCAGTTGTTTCTGGGTGTTACCACCATCTCAGCCTGGATTGGGGATCACAGGTACGTGACCCACTCCTGTGAAGAAAATTCCCTGCGGTCGGTATTGTTTGTGTTCTTTAAATAAGCAGACTCCAGGATTTATAGAGAAACACTTCATATTCATTTCTGATGTTCTTGTCCACCTTGATCGCGGAGGATTTCAACCCCTCCGTGGAGGGGCGGTGGAAAAAGGAAGGATGGAGTCAACAACTTAAAATTCCCGTAATAATGAGAAATGGGGTGCCCATGGGGAGGGCCTTGTGTGGGGCTGTAATAGGCGATATTAAGAGAGTTGCGGAACTCACATGGGGAATTGTGTGAACCAGTCACGGGGAACAGAAGCTGGTGCCCTTTCAACTTTAGGCCTCAGCCACCTAGATCTTCTTGGAAATGCCTGTAGAATCTCATGCACACATGGTCCCCGCCACGGGGTCCCGAGAACCTGGGTCCCTTTAGCTTTCATGGAACTCAAGGTGACTTACTGCATCCTGAGTAACAGTGGTGTAACAGCAAACGTTTTAGGTCCTGGCTGGTGTGTTCTAAACAAAGTCATCGATGGCACAGAGGGAGTAACTTAAATTGGGTTTTTATATCTTCTTAAAATTTTTCCTCCTAGGAGGGTGAGAGAGAGAGCAAACGATTGTATATGGTAACTGACTACTTAAAGGGACCTCTGTGTTATATTTTAATTGTTGACTAATCTATTAATGCATTTGATTTATTTATTAATTATTTTAAGGAGACAAATAGAGTCAGTGTGACATGTGGAAAGAGCATGGGATTAGGAATCGGAGAGATTTGAGACCTGGCTTGGCCACTAACTGACATCAGGCAAGAATTTAGGCTCTGAGCTTCAGTTTCCTATCGGGGGAGGGGATTCCTGTCTAACTGAGGATTAGTGTTAGATACAGAATGTCATTGAGGCTTTTAGCACATGACCTGGACACCTCATGGGCGCTCCATTACTGGATGCTACTATTTTTGCTATTTATAAAGAGCAAAAGTCGCATAAAGTGATGAGTATACTTCTGTATTACTTATTTCCTGCCAACTCTCTGTTAATAGAGCAGTAGTAACCCCTTGAAGAGAAAGTTGGATAACCAATATGTTGTAAATATTTCACTTAACACTTCAAATCAAAATAGAAATTAAGCAGACCATTGAAATGAGGTTGAAAGTTCTAGATAAAGAAGTTGTTCAGTTTAAGTGCTATTTTAAGTGATAATTTTTTCAGTTTCTTTTTTGTTGAGCAGAGTAGAAATAATGAGATGCTAAAGCTGTCCATCACAAGGGTATACCTCAGACATCATGAAGGGAACTCTTTATCATTGGCATGACCAGTGAACACCCAGCAATTTCTTCAAACTTTTTTGTCACTCATCCTTGGAAACAAATAGTTTTTATGCTGTGAGATTAAAGGAAGAGGGTATTCAGCATTGAAAAGCTAAAAACGCATTATTTCATTTGTCCACTGGGGAAATAAAAATGGAAATGAAATCAATGCCAAAATCATATGCCCTCGGTTAACATGGGATCTGGAAATTCTCTTTTGGGCTGTAACCCCAGACTTTGGAGTGCATTGGGTGCGTGTTGGAATCCTACCGAAATTCACACCAGTGGATTGGGTTCTGATATTTACTAAAACATTAGTTCCTCTCTTGGTGAGTCCAGTTGACACGTGGATTTGGTACAAGTAGGAAGTCAGTGGAGTGTTCCAATGCCTTCTAAGAGGGCAAGTGCATGGGGCTTGCACCTGGGAAAATGGGAGCCCGCAGGTCCCAAAGAGTTCTCAACTTGGGGTGAAGCAGAGTAGTCACCTGACCAAACTTGTGGTTTCTGGAACCCAATTGCCTGGGGTTGAGTTCTCCCTCAGTCTCNGCAAGTGCATGGGGCTTGCACCTGGGAAAATGGGAGCCCGCAGGTCCCAAGAGTTCTCAACTTGGGGTGAAGCAGAGTAGTCACCCGACCAAACTTGTGGTTTCTGGAACCCAATTGCCTGGAGTTGAGTTCTCCCTCAGTCTTNGTGAAGCAGAGTAGTCACCTGACCAAACTTGTGGTTTCTGGAACCCAATTGCCTGGGGTTGAGTTCTCCCTCAGTCTCAGATGCTGGGCAAGTTACTTTACCTCTAGGCCTGTATTTCTCCATCTGTAAAATGGGTGCGATAATAATACCTGCCTCAGCAGGTGTCTGTGAGAGAAACGAGATGATCCCCGTTAAGTGAGTTGTACTCAGTAACACAGGGCTACAGTTTTCTCAGTCCCTTCTTTGCTCTCTCTGTCCAGTGGGACTCCCTCTCAGTCACACTTCTCTGTAGTAAAGCTTGTAGGCGATGCTTTCTGAAGAGTCATTCTTTGCTTGTTTGAGAACATTTGCATTTCAAAAAATTTCTTTTTTAAAGGAATGTAGTAGTTATAGTAATTTTGAGAGTGGTTTTTCCCCACAAAGTGCAATCCAAACTCACCATGAAATTCTGTTTGTTTTGTTTACAGGGAACACGGGTCTGGCTGAGAGAAAATGGCCAACATTTTCCAAGTACTGTAAATTCCTGTGCAGAGGGTGTCGTCGTCTTCCAGACAGACTATGGTCAGGTGAGCACAAGTCCCTTGGCCCACAAGGAATGTGAAGTGCACACTTTAAGTGTGTGAGAGACGCAGTGAAATTCTCCCAAACAGATTTCAGAAGGTGTTCCAACCAGGATGGGACAGAAGAGCACTCCACTTGGCCTGTCTCCTTCCTGGGGATCTTGTCCAAGAATCAGAAGTATGGAATGCAAGCAGCTGGAGGAAAAGTCTGAATAGATTGATATTTGCTAGTTGGTTTCATTACCACTTTCCCTCAAAATTCTTAAACTTTCCTAGAGTATTGGAGATGCTTGGCTTGCCAGTGAGAGTGTAGTGTTGCCATGTCCTAATCCCTGTAAGAATCAGACTGACTAAATCCCTAACCTGAGCTTCTGTATCCACCTTGTTAAGCAGCTGCAGGAGTTCCTTCTGTATGTGGGAATTCTGCTGCTGCTGGTTCTCCATTTTTTTAGTGTAAAACAAATGAAAAGCCGGTCACTGAAAATAGAAATATCATGTGAATCCAGAAACTGGCTCATTGATTGTACATTTGAGCCTTAAACAACATAGATTTCACCTGGGCAGGTCCACTCACAGGTGGATTTTTCCCCCATAAGTGTTGTAAATGTGTTTTCCTTATGATTTTCTTTTCTCTAGCTTACTTTATTGTAAGAATACAGTATATAATGCATATAAACATACAAAATACATGTTAATTGACTGTTTATTGCTATCGGTAAGCNAAAATACATGTTAATTGACTGTTTATTGCTATCAGTAAGGCTTCTGATCAACAGTAGGCTATTAGTAAAGTTTTGGGGGAGTCAAAAGTTTTGTGATTTTCGACTGTGCAGGGGGGTTGGTGCCCCTAACATGTTGTTCATCAACTATATTTGGATAATTGTGAAAGGAGCCCAGTTTCTCCATTTTATTAGGGAAACTAATTTTAATGTTACAAATGGGCCTCTCCCTGAGAGGCACCTATGGAAATTTAAGACATAAAGTAATAAAAGGATGTCATATACCAGGGTTGAAAACTCCTAGTGCCTGAATCTCCTTTGTAATTGTGCTGAGCACGAACGCTGCAAGGTGTAGTTTGAGGCAGATGGGCTGGGCTACTGGGCTCTCACAGCCTCTTAGCCGGATGGTCCCCTCGGTGTGGTACCTTTCTCAATTTTTGGCGTAATGAGGAGTGATGTTACTGGGCTGTTTTGCAGTTCCTCAGTTTCTTTTTCATCTGAGTCTTGAATGGCTCTTTAGTACTTATCCAGGTGAAGACATAGCTCAGTTTCGTTGATATAGACTGTAAGGGGGGAGTGGGGAGGAAGAAGGTGGCAAAGAGATCACAGATCTAACAGCCATCGCCGGTGAGGTCGCTGCACTAGTGCCCAGTCCGGTTTCTTTCTCATCAGGTTCTCAGGTAGTGTCCTATGATCTATAAATGAAGGCCTGACCGATCGACTTCTCTGAACCTCAGAGTCGGGCACTGCTGTAATGTTGAAGTTTCCCTGCAGACGTGGTCAGCATTTTTTCTTTTTTTGAAATCCTCACCCAAGGATATTTTTTTCCATTGATTTTTAGAGAGTGGAAGGGAGGGAGGGAGAGAGAGAGAAACATTGACGTGAGAGAAACACATCGACTGGTTACCTCTCACACGAACCCTTNTCCATTGATTTTTAGAGAGAGTGGAAGGGAGGGAGGGAGAGAGAGAGAAACATCGACGTGAGAGAAACACATCGACTGGTTACCTCTCACACGAGCCCTACCGGGGAATCAAACCTGCAACCTAGGCATGTGCCCTTGACTGGGAATCGAACCCAAGACACTTCGGTCCGCAGGCCGACGTGCTAACCACTGAGCAAAACTGGCTAGGGCAGCATTTTTTCTCTTAGCCTTGACTCTGCANCACTTCGGTCCGCAGGCCGACGTGCTAACCACTGAGCAAAACTGGCTAGGGCAGCATTTTTTCTGTCTTAGCCTTGACTCTGCCTGTGTCCCTTCTCACTGGCCCCGTGAATTCAGTCCCTTTCAGTCCCTGTACATGCTTCTCAGGATGACATAAAAAAGGAAAACAGTACTACTCAGTGTACCTGCTTGGACATAACTATTCCTAAAAATATTGTAAAATAGATTTGTAATGGAGTTCTTTCTGTTGTTGACTATCTTTTAATCCCAAAGGTAACTTTTAAAACTTTTATTCCTCTTATTTTATTTTATTTTTATTTTAAAATATATCTTTATTGACTTCAGGGGGAGGAAGGGCGAGGAGAGAGAGAAAGAAACATCAGTGATGAGAGTCATTGATCAGCTGCCTCCTGCACGCCCCCTACTGGGGATCGAGCCTGCAGCCCAGGCATGTGCCCTGACTGGAAATAGAACCATGATCTCCTGGGTCCTAGGTTGATGCTCTACTGCTGAGCCACACCAGCCGTACTATTCCTCTTTTTTTTTTAAAAAAAAATGTGCTAAAAAACCATAGGATGTTAAGTTTACCATCTTAAGCACTTTGGTTTGCACTCCAGTAGTGTTAAGTACATTCACATTGTAGTGCAACAGAGCGCTAGTACTTTTTCATATTGTAACACTGAAACTCTGTACCCACCCAACACTAGTTCCCCATCTCTGCTCCCCTAGTCCTTCTAACTCCCGTTCTACTTTCTGTCTCTATAACTTTGCTTTACATACTTTATATGAGTGGAATCATACAGTATTTGCTGTTTTTTGTGACCGGCTTATTTTGCTTAACAATCCTCAAGGTTCTAAGATACTTTCTGTTCCTATCTGTGCTTTGCTTGGCAGAGGCTTCTAACGTGGCAGCTTCAGTGGCATTTATTGCTACTGCCTATGACACGTGGTCAGCAGTCTGTGTCACATGAAGACACTGCCAGCCCCAGTCGATGGGCAGCTCGCAGAGAGG